AGTACAAAGATAATGCTGCATCCACGCACTCTGGTTTATACAAACAAGTACATGATTCCAAATCTCAGCACTGCAACTCTTAGCAGTGGCAAATGTATTTATATTCATGCAAATCTGGCTGAGAAGTAGGGCCGTGAAGAGAAGCTGGCAGGGTAGAAGTAAGGATAAAGCAGGGGGTAGAATATCCACCCAGGAACCTGAGTATCAACCCTTTGTACATAAGAAATTTGGTCAAGGCCACCTATCCTTTAGCCTCAAGTTTCCAAAAAGTCCTATACATCCTATAACACAGAGAGGGAATTCAGCGTCCTCCCTTAGATCTGGAGTTGAGTTCAGCTCCCTTGGACAGAACAAGGAAGACTTCAAAGTCTACTGCAAAGAAATTGGTGAGTGGGAGCAACACAGCACATAAGAAGGAAAGGTCTTCACTTGAGGTCAGGAGTTCAAGGCCAGCCTGAACAACATAGCAAGACCTTGTCTCTACAAAACTTTTAAAAATTAACCAGGCATGATGGCACATGCCTGTAGTCCCACCTACTAAGGAGGCTGAGGCAGGAGAATTGCTTGAGGCCAGGAATTCAAGACCAACCTGGGCAATATAGAAAAACCTTGTCTCTAAATTTTTTTTTAATTAGTTAAGCATAGTGGCACATGCCTGTAGTCCCAGAAACTTGGGAGGATGAGGCAGGAGGATTGCTTGAGCCCAGGAGATTGAGACTGGAGTGAGCTATAATCACGCCACTGAATTCCAGCCTGGGAAAACTTGTCTCTAAAAATTAATTAATTAATAATAATAAGTATTATAATTACAACCATTTGGAAAAAAAGAAGGAAAAGTCTGTGCTGGTTAGCATTAAGGTTACAGAATTATGACCTTCATTCACAAGAGCACTGTGTTTCCTCACCTCCATCCTACAGTGGACATGCTTCCTGTGTCTCTTCACATGGCACCATTCAAAATATTTTAGATCACCTGAATTTACGTTAGTGACAATCAAATTATCTAAATACCCTTGGAAGTATTACCTTGGTAGATGTAGTGGCTGGTTGTTGTGGATACTACAATCAAATGTCCCTTATCTCTTTTGTGTTCCTTTCTTCCATATAGAAAAAGTTTCTATGATTTTTCCTCTAAAAGGAAATAAGTTATATTAAATGATAGAAACCCTAAACAGCATTAAAATCATTTCCAGGAGCCGGGCTCGGCGGCTCAACCTGTAATCCTGCACATTGGGAGGCTGAGGTGAGTGGATTGCCTGAGCCTGCGGGTTCGAGACCCGCCTGGACAACTTGGTTAGACCTCATCTCTACAATAATTCAAAAAATGAGCTGGGCCTGGTAGCGCGCGCCTGTAATTCCAGCTATTTGGAAGGTTGAGGCGGAAGGATCGCCGGAGCCCCAGCAGGTCGAGGCTGCAGTGGCCGGGAGCAGCCACTGAACTCCAGTCTGGGCGACAGAGTGAGACTCCAACTCAAAAATTAAAAAATTTAAAAATTAAAAAATCATTTCCAGGGATGCCAGGCTCAGTGGCTCAGCCTGTAATCCCGCGCTTTGGGAGGCTGAGGTGAGTGGATTGCCTGAGCCTCAGGGTTCGAGACCCGCCTGGGCAACTTGGCAAGACCTCATCGCTACAATAAATAAAAAAATCAGCCAGGCATGGTAGCGCGTGCCTGTAATTCTGGCTACTCGGAAGGCTGAGGCAGAAGGATCGCTGGAGCCCAGTGGGTCGAGGCTGCAGTGGCCAGGAGAGGCCACTGCACTCCAGTCTGGGCGACAGAGTGAGACTCCAACTCAAAAAAAAAAATCATTTCCAGGGAAAAGAAATAAGTTCCTAATTAAGAATAAAAATTCTAACTAAACTAAATCACATTCATAATCATCCTATCAAAGCTAATCATTATTTTCTTCTAATATATATGAAATATGATCTTCCTATTATATTAAAATTCTATTACCACCTCAGTGCTTCTTTAAGGAGATAGTGACCATAAAGTTAAGACCTTAGACTTTGCCGTGAAATAGACCACCAAAGCCTTAAAAACTAGCCCTCCCACTTACCAACGATGTGAACTTGGACAAGTTGCTTATTTCTTTTCCATTTTTGTTTCATCTGTATAGTGAGACAAATTCTAGCACCTACCTCAGATGACTGACACAAAATAAAATAAGATAATGTTCACAAAGCACTAAGCATAGTGTCTAGCATATAGTAAGGCCACAGCAGATATCTACTGGTAGCAGTAGCAGTATAATAGAAACAACAATAGCAGTAGTCTAGATAACTCCCCAAACTATTTTATTTAGCTCCATTTTTGGACAAACATAAAAACCTCACTTGTAGTTATCTACCATACCTGTCTCTCCTCCCTTTCCTGGGCAGAGGTGAGAACTCCACTTTCCATCCCCTTCAGTGATGTCACTTTCAGTCTGAGGAACTGAAGAACCAATGTGCTATCTCTAGTCACGCCCTTTCGCTGCTGTAGAGACCCTTGAAGCCATGCATCAAGATGCAGAAAGCCTGGATCCTGAGTCACTGCATGGAGAAGACCTGCCCCGGAGAGTCAACTGACCTACTTCATATTTAAGGAGAACAAGAAATAAATCTCTGTGTTAAGCCATTGAGATTTGAGGTTTGTTAGCTACTGCAGAAGAACCTACCCTATCCTGACCAGTAAGATTCATATACCTCTAAAAGGGGAAGAAAGGGCACTTAAAATTTTTTTAATAACTTGCTTTTTATCAATCTTTATATTCTTTACTTTGTAATACCACACCATATTGTAAGCAAATTTACTTGCATATTGCATATTGCAAGTAAATTGACTTTTCAAACTCTCCATGCTTCTTCCTCATTTTACACCTTTTAACCTAAAAGAAAAAAATAATTACATTTTATAATATAATTATATTTTATTTAATTGTATAGTAATTATAATTTATATTAAGTATATAGATTAATACTGGACCTTTCACTGGGTCATATGCCACACAGTCACATGTTCCCAACAATACCCAAGGCATCCTGTGATCACAGTAGAGGCCAGAACAAGGAAGGAGTAATGGGAGCACCCTCAAGCGTTCACTCACTGCTGTCTTCTGGCAACATGAGCCAGTTAAGTGGCATTAAGGATACTAACCTAGCAAGAACTAAACTAACCTTCAAAATGGACAAGTGGTTTAAAATGTTTTCACTAAAAGCAAAAAAAGACTTTGTGTATCATTAAGCTTTACCTCACAATATCATTTATTTTAATTTATCTTACCCATATTTAATTCCTTATAAATGTCATAGAAGAAACATAATATGTTGGCACAATAATACATCATGTAATTTATAAATAAATATACATGTATAATTGGAGTCTGTGCCCAAAAATAAAACTAATGATAGCAACATGAAATAAGTCATTCTGGAGCTGACAGTTTAGAGAAGGGTTGTCAAACTTTTTGTCACTACTTGCATCATTCCCAAACTGCTCTAGTTATTTCCCAAGAAACTGAAAAGGAGAGGAAAACCAATACAAAACTAGGGGGAAACACACATTGTTAGTAACAGGCTCACAAGAACTTCCTGAACCAGCAAAGTCAGAACGAAGCAGAAATGATAGTGAAGAGCATTCATTTGACTTAGGAGTGAAGAACAAAGCTGTCTGTTCCAACTAAAAAATCACATTTCCACATCTGAAAACCAGCAGTGGCTCTATCAGATAATCAAAGAGATAAAGTGATTGCTTTCTACACATAGAAAGAGAACAAAGGGCAGATTTTCATATAGGTCACAATTGCTTCCACAGGCACTCAGACTCCAAAGGAGTGGTAGCCAGGGAAACCAACAGGAGGGTCAGCAGATGACCCCATGAAAAGCAGAGTGCTTCATTAGGCCAATATCAAGACCAATTATCAGAGAACCACTAGTTCAGCCAAGTTAGAGTCATCTCAAATTCCCACACAAAGTGAAATGATATCTGGGAATTTGTGAGCCAAATGGCATCACACCCTCTATGCCTCATCTCTCCTCATTTCTCTCACCACCAATAAGAGAAGAAGCTAGGATTTAAACCCAGGTATGTCTGATTCCAGAGCCCTTATGAAAATAGCAGCATATAAAACAGGCCTCACAGCACATACAGGATTTGAAAATAGAGACTGACTGGGACCAAAAGAAAAGCAGCAGGAAGAAGGTGGGAAACCTTGGGTGTGTACAGAAATTACCAAGTGATGGTGCAGGTAGGACAAGTGTGAGGGAGGTGGTACAAGATAAGCCTGGAAAAGTGGGCCTTGGCCTTACAGTACTATGGACTCAGTCAAGGAGGTAGACTTCATTCTGGAGGGAATGGGTAACCACTGAGGACTTTAAAGCAAGGGAAGAGCATAGATGCAGGTAGACACAGAAACTATTCTTGGATCAAAGAAGAGTATGAAGGTGATTTGCACATAATTAATATTGAATGGATAAAGGCAGAAAGACTAAGTTAAAATTTATTGCATTTCTCTAACATGATATCAAACCTATTCTATCAAATCCCATTTAATATTGCTCAGTTTGCCACTTAGAAAACAGACTCCACTCATTCTTGAAGAAAATAATGCTGCTGGTGCTTCAAAAAATATATCAATTCACCAGTTAAATGTGGCCCTTTAAATGTTGCTGTTAAAGTGTTTACTCTTGTGGAAATTAACATTTTCTTCTTCCATTCAGGGGGAGATATTTCTGAACTGCTGAAAAAGAAAATTAACAAAGTACAAAAATTAGGCAATTGAGGAGTAATCCTTCCCTCCTTCTGCAACAATGGGGAAATGTTATTGGAAAATAAAGAAATTATAAACTGTAACCTCATATTTCCTATGTTCTCTTGTAGAGTCCAAGTCAGACACATATTAAGTCATAATCATCTTGATGATGCCAAAATTTCTTCTGCACAGGTCGTGATACCATCCGCAAAGCATCAACTACTCAGTGAGAAGTCAATGTTGAAAAATAGAGACAAATCACAACCTACCTGATTTTCTTCATGGGAAACCCTCATCTGCTCCTTGAGAACAGACATCCGTGCTGCCTCTTCTTTCCTCAAGACTCTCTCCTTCTTAAGCTCGGGACTCCAGAAAGTCTTGATACTGTTCATGGAAGATCCCAACTTGCTATCTTTTATGTCTAGCTCTTTCCGGAGCAGGTCATTCTCTCTCTGGAGTTCCTTGAGCTGGGCTTGAAGGTCTAACATTGTGCTATCTCTTACCTGCCTCAACATGGAGGGGACCTGGTGGTGGTGATGATGGGATGAGCTGGTCAGGCCATGTTGATCTGTGTATGAAAGAACATCTGTGTGAGAAAGTCCAGCAGAAGCGATATTGGGACTACTCCCCATGGCTGTGACTCGGCCTCCATATACGGCTCGATTTGTGGCCCTTCCCAGAGTCATGGTGCCCTTTGGGTAAGTTGTTGAAGCCACCCCTTCATGATCACTCAGATACATGGGTCCAGACGTAGCGTACGCTGCATTAAGGGACTGGATATTCTCCATAGACAGAGTCTTGCCTGTTCCTCCACCTCCCCCACTACTTGTTCTTCGGTGGCCCAAACGAGGAGATCTTGGCAAACGAGGTGATCTGGAAGGGCTGCCTTCCAGATTGGTGATTGTTCTTGCACTCCCATACATTTTTCTTCTATTGTGAGGTTACTGAAGAGACGAAATGCTATACTAAGTTGGGATTGAAGCTAATATTTCCACAGTTGTCCAGAATATTCACTGCATTCTTTTCACAGTCTATACCAGAAAATAACTCCAGAGATCTGCAAAATGAGAAAAAGGATAGTTAAAAATAAACTTCTTTATAACTTTGACTATAACTGTATTATATTTAAAAATAAATAGATAAATGATGGCAGATGAACAATAGGCAGGTAGACAGAGTCACACCCGTGATTTTCATTGAAAAAGAAAAGTGACCCCAAAGCTTTATTTACTATATGTTGACTTTTTATAAATTCTTCCTATTCTCTCCCCTAGCGGAATCAAAGATATTCTCAGAGCAAAAAAGGCACTTTTACTTAGGGAAACAAAGCTCTCCATTTTGTTTGTGCTAAGAGTTGGCACCTCCAGAAAAGTCACCAGGGACTTCTCCATCACGGAGACCTTAGCTATAAAATAATCCATCACTGGGGCACGGCCCCCACACATATGTGGCTTAACAGTGACGCTGAGAAGTTTCCTAGAATATCAAATATTTGGCAAGCATGGCCGGGCACAGTGGGTCCCACCTGTAATCTCAGCACTTTGGGAGGCGGAAGCGAGAGAAATATCTGAGCCCAAGGGTTTGAGACCAGCCTGGGCAAACTGGTAAGACTTTATCTCTACCATAAATCATTTTTAAAAATTAGCTGGACATGGTGGTGCATACCCATAGTTCTGACTACTTGGAAGGCTGAGGTAAAAGGATCACTTGAACCCAGGAGGTACAGGCTGTGGTAGCCATGAGCATGCAACTACACTCCAGCCTGGGCAACAAAGTGAGACTCTGACTCAATAAATAAAAATAATGATAAAAATATATTTGGCAAGTATGTTGCTCCCTTCCCCTCTTGTACTCATTATAGACATCACTAATTCATCACAGTACTCTTCCACTAGGTTCAGAACTCTTCTCAACACAACACTCGAAATGGTTTATCACCAATTGACGGGCATTGGCACATGAATTGTAGAGATGTGGTTTGGTAATCCCAGAACTAAAAGAAAAAAGGGGCTTAACAAACCAATGGGATGCTTATACAGATAGCCAGATCTCAGTGCTATGACCACGGAAAACAACAGTCCTGTCTCTTTTCCCTTTCACACACATCATTCAAGCTAGTTTTTTGAGAATTCTTTTCCATTTTGGTTGACATTAGTATTCATATTGACCACTTCACACCTGTACAGAAATGGCACTGGAGAACAGTATACCATGTAGGAGTGCCTCATCCCATAACCCCTAGAGAACAGTTGTAGAAGTTCCCTGTCATGGTCACCCAAGTATACTGGTACAGATTTTATTATCTGGGCTTCAGAGTTATGATTATCCCTTCAATATTAGGACCCAAATGGCCTCAGTGGGGTACATTAGATCTCCTATTCTTCCCTTTAGGAAGTCTTTAGTGTGCTTTCTTTTTCTTCAGCTTTACAACAATAAGAGAACAGATTCTGGATAGCAGCAGACTGAGATTCAAATCTCCATGCTAACACTAGCCAGTTGAGTGATCTTAGGCAAATTATTTAACCGTTAAGAGCTTTCACTGTCCATTTTTTTAAATGCAGGTAATACCACATAACTCAGAGTATTGTGAGAAATATGTAAGATAATGTTTATAAAACACCTAGTTTGGGCCGGGAATGGTGGCTTAAGCCTGTAATCCCAACAATTTGGGAGGCCAAGGCAAGAGGATTGCCCGAGTCCAGGGGTTCAAGACCAGCCTGGGCAACTTGGTGAGACCACGTCTCTACAATAAATCAAAAAATTAGCTGGGAGTGGTGGCGTGCATCTGCAGTTCCAGTTACTTGGAAGGCTGAGGAGGAAGGATCGCCTGAGCCCAGCAGGTTGAGGCTGCATGCCACTGTACTCCAGCCTGGGCAACAGAGTGAGACTCTGACTCAAAAAAAAAACAAAAAAAAAAACACCTAGTTTGATGCTTAGCACAAAATAGTCAAAAATAGTTTTTATTGGTATCATCTCAATGACACTAAGTACATTAACAGCAATACACAGGGACATCTTTTATTTTCACCTGCCTAACATTCATCTCTCTCTACCCACACACTTTCTGGTTATACTATCTCTATTTTCCTCAGAGAAATTGTTCCCAACCTTCTATTCATAGTTCATGAGATTTAGGTAAGGCTGAGGAGGAAGGATCCTGGAGGGGGACAGGGGTGAGAACATGACCCAAGCCAGGCCAATTATCATATTCCATCCTCCAGACACGACAGCTAGTTTAGGAATGGCATGTGACCCACATTGGTCCAAAAGGCTCCGTACCATGACTTTAGCTGGAACAACTGGCAAAGATAAGCTCTTTTTGAAAAATGATTTGCTTTCAAGACGGGGCTCTGAGTACTATAATGTGGAAAGGGCCGCTCTAAGAGTGAAGCTAGTGCAAAGGAAAGCAGAGCTAAACTCTGAAGGGTGTCAACCCAAGCCAGGTGACATCACTTCATATTCCAGACTCAGTAGTCTTTGAAGCTACATCTATCCCCATGCCATTTTAGTTACATATGCCAAGTAGACTGATAGCATTTATGGTCCCAGTTCTTTACCCTTTCTTTCATCTATGCTCTTGATAGTGCCCTCCCAATCTGACTCTAGGTTCAGCCATGTGACTTGCTTTGGCTAATAAGGTGATAACCAATGTGAAACAAACAGAGGCCTGAAGTAGCACTTGTGGGTTTAATCTCCGGCTCATTTTCTTCTACCACAGCAACTAGAACATGCCCTTTCTAACCTGATAGAAGATGAGAAACATAAAATAGAGCCAAGTTGTCCCAGCCAACCAACCCCAAGATGCTGAACAAGCCCGGCCAAGATCAGCAGAACTGCCTGGCCAACCAGCAGCTGCCATAGCAGCATGAGCAAGGCCAGTTGGGAACACCACATACTCATGGACTAAACAAATGCTTCTTAGCATGTACTGATGCTTTGTGGTTAGTTGTTTTGTAGCATTATTGGGGCAATGGGTAACTGATACATTTGTCCATAAATTTCCTTTCCGCAACATTTGATTCTAGTTGGTTTCTGTCACTTATAGTGACACATATAATATAAAAATTTGTTTTCCATAAAAGTTTTTCCCTTTCCCTAGAAAGGCCTTAAAAAATTATGCACCTGTTTCTAACTAAAGAATTTCATTTCTATGTTTACATTACTCAGGAATTAATTTTACTTTCACTGGAAATATACAAAAGTCATTTGGATTCTAGGATTTTTGCATGAATAATCTTAGGTGTAAAAAAGAATCAATAGTGTCAAAATAAGAATTCAGTCATATAAATTATAAGAGAGAGGCCGGGCTCAGTGACTCAGCCTGTAATCCCAGCGCTTTGGGAGGCCGAGATGAGTGGATTGCCTGAGCCTGCAGGTTTGAGACCCGCCTGGGAAACTTGGCGAGAACTCATCTCTACAACAAATCAAAAAATTAGCCGAGCGTGGTAGCGCACTCCTGTAGTTCCAGCTACTTGGAAGGCTGAGGCGGGAGGATCGCCGGAGCCCAGCAGGTCGAGGCTGCAGTGGCCAGAAGCGGCCACTGCACTCCAGTCTGTGTGACAGAGTGAGACTTCAACTCAAAAAAAAAAAATTATAAGAGAGGCCAGGCTTGGTGGCTCAGTCTGGAATTCCAGCATTTTGGGAGGCCAAGGTGAGTGGATTGCCTGAGCCCACAGGTTCAAGACTAGCCCTGGCAACTTGGAGAGACCTCATCTCTACAATAATTTTTTTTTAAATTAGCCAGGCGTGGTAGCGTGTGCCTGTAGTTCTCTGGCTACCTGGAAGGTTGAGGCAGAAGGATCACCAGAGCCCAGCAGGTCGACACTGGGGTGGCTGTGAATATGTCACTGCACTCCAGCATGTGCAACAGAATGAGACTCCAATTCAAAAAAAAATTATACAAACAGACACTTCATAAAAGAAGACATCCCAGCAGCCAACAAACACATGAAGAAATGCTCAACCTCACTGATCATCAGGGAGATGCAAATCAAAACCACACTGAGATACCACCTAACTCCAGTCAGAATGGCCATTATCAACAACTCAAAACATAACAGCTGCTGGAGAGGGTGTGGTGAAAAGGGAACACTTCTACACTGTTGGTGGGAGTGTAAACTAGTGCAACCTCTGTGGAAAGCAGTGTGGCGATTCCTAAAAGCTCTAAAAATTGACCTTCCATATGACCCTGCAATCCCCCTACTGGGAATATACCCTGAAGAACTCAAATCACTCTATAAAAAAGATACCTGCACACGTATGTTTATCGCAGCATTGTTCACAATAGCAAGAACCTGGAAACAACCATGCTGCCCATCAAAAGAGGACTGGATTAAGAAAATGTGATACATATACACGATGGAATACTACGCAGCCATAAAAAAGAACAAAATCATGAATTTCGCAGCAACCTGGATGGAACTAGAGTCTATAATACTGAGTGACCTCTCACAGAAACAAAGATCCGAGTATCACATGTTCTCACTCATATAATGGACCTTGAACATCCAATGTAATACTATAAGAAAATGACTGACGGTACTGGGAAACTATGGGGGGGACGGGGATGGGATTAACAGTAGCATATATCTGTCTGGGGATGGGGAAACACCTCTTATCAACAGGGTACCTGAATGAAATATAATTGTACACCTAACCCTTAACTGTACCCCACAAAACCATAATAAAAAATACTGATTAAATAAACAAAAGAAAAGAAAATACAGCATGTATACACAATGGAATATTATTAAACTTTTAAAAAGAAAAAAATTATGCGAGAGACAGACAGTTGAATCATGTGACGGTAATATAACTGGAATATTTAATAAGATAGAAAGATGTTCAAGACATATTGGTAATGGGAGGAGAAGAATACTATAAGATAATTTTTATGTTTTACTCACAGTTTTGTAAAACACACACACATACACACACACAACTATCAGCAAAGAAGGCTAGACTGACACACATCAAAACATTACCAGTGGTGAGAGTCCAAGAAGTTTTCATCTTCTTTGTTTTGTTTATTTGCATGTTCCAAATTTTCTATAATAA